TAAAGCACTCTACAAATGTGATTTATTATTATTATTATTATTATTATTATAGGCAACCGGATAGATAATAAACAGTAGCAGCAGCGTTTGTGATTAGTCAAAAAGGATCAATGCAGATAGTCTGGATAGCTATTGTTAGGGCCTTCCTCTGGCACCGCCTGGTATAGAGGCCCCGGATGGCAGGGAGCTCGGCCCCAGTGATGTACTGGGCCGTACGCACTACCCTCTGTAGCGCTTTGCTGTCAAATGCCAAGCAGTTGCCATAACAAGCAGTGATGCAGCCAGTCAAGATGCTCTCAATGGTGCAGCTGTGAAACTTTTTGAGGATCTGAGGGCCCATGCCAAATCTTTTCAGCCTCCTGAGGGGGAAGAGGTGTTGTCGTGCCTTCTTCACGACTGTGTTGGTGTGTGTGGGCCATGATAATTCCTTTGTGATGTGGACACTGAGGCACTTAAAGCCCTCAACCCTCTCCACTACAGCCCAGTGTGGATGGGGGCGTGCTCGGCACTCCGTTTCCTGTAGTCCACGATCAGCTCCTTTGTCTTGCTGACGTTGAGGGAGAGGTTGTTTTCCTGGCACTACACTGCCAGGTCATTAACTCCTCCCTATAGGCTGTCTCATCGTCATCTGTGATCAGACCGAACACCTTCATGTCATCAGCAATCTTAACCCTCCCGTTGTCCTAGGGTCAAAATGACCCGCCACTGTGTTGAACCAACTTTATTTAATTTTTATATTTTTTGGATCATTTGTGAGAAGGAGGCAGTGATACTTTCTTTAAAGTCTCACTGCCTCCTTCTCACAAATGATCCCAAAAAGATAAAAATTAAATAAAGTTGGTTCAACACAGTGGCGGGTCATTTTGACCCTAGGACAACGGGAGGGTTAATGATGGTGTAGGAGTTGTGCGTGGCCATGCAGTCATGGGTGAACAGGGAGTACAGGAGAGGATTAAGCACGCACCCCTGAGGGGCCCCCCTGTTGAGAGTCATCGTGGCAGATGAGTTGTTGCCTACCCTCACCACCTGGGAGCAGCCCATCAGGAAGTCCAGGATCCAGTTGAAGAGGGAGTTGTTCAGTCCCAGGGTCCTTAGCTTAGTGATGAGCTTGGATGGCACTATGGAGTTGAACGCTACGCTATAGTCAATTAACAGCATTTTCACATAGGTGTTCCTCTTGTCCACGTAGGAGAGGGCAGTGTGGAGTGCAATAGAGATTGCGTCATCTGTGGATCTGTTGGGGAGGTATGCGATTTAGAGTGGGTCGAGGGTGTCTGGGATGATTCTGTTCATGTGAGCCTTGACCAGCCTTTCAAATAATTTAATGGCGACAGATGTGAGTGCTACGGGGCAATAATCATTAAGACAGGTTACCTTGGCTTTCTTGGACATTGGGACTATGGTGGTCTGCTTGAAACATGTAGGTATTACAGGCTGGGTCAGGGAGAGGTTAAAAATGTCAGTGAAGACACTTGCCAGCTGGTCAGCGCATGCTCTGAGTTCACGTGCTGGTAATCCATATGGCCCCATGGCCTTGTGAATGTTAACCTGTTTATAGGCCTTACTCAAGCCCTGCCACATCCGACGAGCATCAGAGCCGGCGTATTAGGATTCGATCTTAGTCCTGTATTGACGTTTTGACTGTTTGATGGCTCGTCGGAGGTCATAGTGGGATTTCTTATAAGCATCCGGGTTAGTGTCCCGCTCCTTGAAAGCGTCCGCTCTTTAGCTCAGTGTGGATGTTGCCTGTAATCCATGGCTTCTGGTTGGGATATGTACGTGTGGTCATTGTAGGGACGACGTCGTTGATCAAATTATTAATGAAGCCGGTGACTGATGTGGCAAACACCTAAATGTTACCAGATGAATTCCGGAACATATTCCAGTCTGTGCTAGCGAAACAGTCCTGTAGCTTAGCATCCGCTTCATCACACCACTTCTGTATTGAGCTGGTACTTCCTGTTTGAGTTTTTGCTTGTAAGCAGGAATCAGGATGATAGAGTTATGGACCGATTTGCCAAATGGAGGGCGAGATAGAGCTTTGCATGCGTTTCTGTGTGTGGAGTAAATGTGATCTAGAGTTTTGTCGCCTCTAGTTGCACAGGTGACATGCTTGTAAAAATGAAGTTAGATGGATTTCAATTTCCCTGCATTAAAATATTGCAATTCTTTAGGTCCTGTTGATAGGATAGTCTCGAACAGAGGTTGTCTAGTTTGTTCTCTAGTGATTGTACATTTGCCAATGCAACGGAGGATACAGGCGTCTCTTCCTCTTTTGAATCCCGGGGATTAGGGCCTCGTCCAGAATGAGCAGTATGTCAACTGCTGCCAACTCGTTGAAGTAGAAATCTTCATCCAAATCGAAGTTAGTGATCACTGTTCTGATGCCCAGAAGCTCTTTTCAGTCATAGGAAATGATGGCGGAAATATTATGTACAAGAAAATTGTTAAGATCAGCATTTTAAAAAACACTAGTAACTATCCACTGCAGAGCCATCTTCATTAATATTCACACACACACACACACACACATACACACACACACACACACACACACACACACACACACACACACACACACACACACACACACACACTGTCCTAGTCCCTGCCCCAGGGAGGCACACCCCAATTGGCCAGCCCCTGAACACACAAAGGCCTGGACTAGCAGGGGAACACAGTGTGTTTGGCAGATTTTCTGATATTTCTGCAATGTACTCATTTTTGTTTTTGTCAGTAATGTTTTTTAGTGGCACAAAAAAAGTGAATTCCATGTGGGATAATAAAGGTAGGCTATATTGTATATATATACAGTGAGGGAAAAAAGTATTTGATCCCCTGCTGATTTTGTACTTTTGTCCACTGATAAAGAAATGATATAATGGTAGGTTTATTTGAACAGTGAGAGACAGAATAACAACAAAAAAATCCAGAAAAACGCATGTCAAAAATGTTATAAATTTATTTGCATTTTAATGAGGGAAATAAGTATTTGACCCCTCTGCAAAACATGACTTAGTACTTGGTGGCAAAACCCTTGCACACATCTCAGGAGGGATTTTGTCCCACTCCTCTTTGCAGATCTTCTCCAAGTCATTAAGGTTTCGAGGCTGACGTTTGGCAACTCGAACCTTCAGCTCCCTCCACAGATTTTCAATATGATTAAGGTCTGGAGACTGGCTAGGCCACTCCAGGACCTTAATGTTCTTCTTCTTGAGCCACTCCTTTGTTGCCTTGGCCGTGTGTTTTGGGTCATTGTCATGCTGGAATACCCATCCACGACCCATTTTCAATGCCCTGGCTGAGGGAAGGAGGTTCTCACCCAAGATTTGATGGTACATGGCCCCGTCCAATGTCCCTTTGACGCGGTGAAGTTGTCCTGTCCCCTTAGCAGAAAAACACCCCCAAAGCATAATGTTTCCACCTCCATGTTTGACGGTGGGGATGGTGTTCTTGGGGTCATAGGCAGCATTCCTCCTCCTCCAAACACGGCCAGTTGAGTTGATGCCAAAGAGCTCCATTTTGGTCTCATCTGACCACAACACTTTCACCCAGTTCTCCTCTGAATCATTCAGATGTTAATTGGCAAACTTCAGACGGGCATGTATATGTGCTTTCTTGAGCAGGGGGACCTTGCAGGATTTCAGTCCTTCACAGTGTAATGTGTTACCAATTGTTTTCTTGGTGACTATGGTCCCAGCTGCCTTGAGATCATTGACAAGATCCTCCCATGTAGTTCTGGGCTGATTCCTCACCATTCTCGTGATCATTGCAACTCCACGAGGTGAGATCTTGCATGGAGCCCCAGGCCGAGGGAGATTGACAGTTATTTTGTGTTTCTTCCATTTGCGAATAATCGCACCAACTGTTGTCACCTTCTCACCAAGCTGCTTGGTGATGGTCTTGTAGCCCATTCTTGTCCCTGACATCCTTGGAGAGCTCTTTGGTCTTGGCCATGGTGGAGAGTTTGGAATCTGATTGATTGATTGCTTCTGTGGACAGGTGTCTTTTATACAGGTAACAAACTGAGATTAGGAGCACTCCCTTTAAGAGTGTGCTCCTAATCTCAGCTCGTTACCTGTATAAAAGACACCTGGGAGCCAGAAATCTTTCTGATTGAGAGGGGGTAAAATACTTATTGCCCTCATTAAAATGCAAATCAATTTATAACATTTTTGACATGCATTTTTCTGGATTTTTTTGTTGTTATTCTGTCTCTCACTGTTCAAATAAACCTACCATTTAAATTATAGACTGATCATTTCTTTGTCAGTGGGCAAACGTACAAAATCAGCAGGGGATCAAATACTTTTTTCCCTCACTGTATATATATATATATATATATATATATATATATATATATATATATATATATATATATGTGTGTGTGTCTATATATATTTATATATATATATTATAATGCATTATTTTGAGCAGCTTTGTGTTGCTAATTTACAGTCACTATGTGCCTGCAGACTATATGGCTGCAGGGGATCCAGAAGATTAGCTACACAGATAACATCTTAATGATTTAATAGGATAACATCTGACTCACCGAAACAGTCACAGACGGGCTCTCCTAGAACATTTAGGTAGACTTATACCTTACATTACATTATACTCACTTATTTTCTCAAGTATACCATAGTATTGCTATTTCACATTGTCATGTTGTTGAATATGTAGGCCTATAATTAATCAAGGTAAAAAAATTCTGCAAGTTTTGCATTCATGACTAAAATTCTAAGACAGAACTTTTGGTCACAACAAAAGAAACACAAAAACTATTTTGAGTGCTTCATAAATTAATTTCAATGTCATAGAAATAGCTATTGGCCTATATATTTCGGTCCATAGCTTTGATTATATCATATAGATTGGATAAAGTGTTCATGGCGTCTCTAGTTGAATAGCCACAGCAGCGGGGCGTTTTGCCCGCTGCTATTGGCTATACAACCAGGAGAGGCGTGGCTCGGTTAGACAAAACAGTCAACGCGCCTCGGTCTCAACCAAACAGAAGAGCAATAGACCAGCACCGCTATCATACATTTATTTTGAAGTCACGTTTTTGATTACTAACATCAACTTTATTTGTTTTGACAGTGTGCACATCCTGCACAGACTTATTCTGCACTACCTGACAGTATCGTTTCGTTTTGTTCCGGTTCTTGATCTGGTGCTAAATCAGCAGCTATGGATTTGGTGTGGCTGGTATGTTTGGCAGTGAGCTTCGGAACCTGGTTCGCCTCTGCAGAGAGACACAGCGTCTTCTGGAATAGCACAAACCCAAAGTAAGTGTTGTTTTTAATCTCTTTCTCTATCTATCTCGCTCTCTGTATCCCTATCTCTCTCTCTCTGTGTGTGTGTGTGTGTGTGTGTGTTTACGCGCGCGCGTTGTGCGTATTTTGGTGTAGCACACATTAAACGAGTGTGTGATTTGTGTGTTTACGCGCACCTAGTGCTCAACTCACTTTGAGAATGCTTATCTGACACTATACTAGGCCTACTCAAATACACTTTCTGTTATGGGATAAATACTGTTTGTGTGTCATCCACTCAATGGATAGCCTACGCGCTGAATTTCCTCGATTCTTTATCAGACATCACACCCCACTGGGCACACACGGCCTGGTTGAATCAACGTTGATTGCACTTCATTTCAATGAAATGATGTTGAACCTATGTGGAATTGACGTTGAATTGACCTCTGTCCAGTGGGACTCAATTTGATGACATCTGGATTTTGGTATTGCTTTTATTTCTTACACTTGTAGGCTATTAGTTGTAGGCTGTGTGCCTTTTTTTATTAGCTGTCCGGTTGCCCCTTTAACCAGGTAACAGGATTGAAATTAGGTTATGGTAGGCCAGTTGCCACCAGGGCATAAACAGAGACAGAGGTGGAGATTGGGATCGAATTCTGAGACGGCTTAACAGACAGAATCAACCCTATATATAACCCCGATACACACAGACACCCTCACACAGCATAGCATAAAAATAAATAGACTGACATGAACCAACTCGACCTGAGTGTCTGAATACAGGCTATATGTCTGTCTGTGTTTCACTCTATTGGTACTGCTGACAGTCTGACATTTCAGATCTCCAAAAGTTGGTGTGTGTGTGTGTGTGTGTGTGATGTCCAATGCTGATTGTTTTGTTTTGGGGTCAGAAATTGTAACGCTACCCAGCCACTCAGTGGGATCAATGGAGCTTGACATGCGTTTGAGAGGCTGTGTGATTTATTGAGCTTTTCGCCCAGAACTGAAGATGGCGAGAAAGAAGGATGGATTATTTTATAGAGAAAATGGAAAGCAAAGACTGAGGGGTCACGGTTTCAGCCGACTCTGGTCGATATTATTGTACCTTCTTATCGCAAGGTCAAAATACATTACGACCTTTTTGTGTTGCCTTAATTACATCTGCACTTTCTCTCAGTAGCTTAATTCTCCTTAGGCCAATGATGACGACAGAGCTACATTAGATTTTGTCCGAAATGGGAAAGACATGGTTTTGTAATAATTGATTTAATGATGTTAACACCGGAAAGTTTTGTTGACTAGTCATACCGTCGGTGACGTAATGGGTTTTTGTCGTGTGCTTCACCTGTTTCGCGCGCATGTCTGACTTTACCTGGGTTTGTCGGTATGACATCACCGAGAAGGTGGCTCGAGCACAAGGAACATGACTTCTGTTGATCAGGTGATATGAGGAGGAAGAGAAGGATCTGAACTCTTTTTAGGCCATAATGAGATAAGAAAGAGGTTATAGAGGAGAAATCAGAGCTTCAGAGTTTCGGGTCAAGTGAGAATTGCTATAAAGGCCAGAGAAATACAAAGTGAACAGAAAGAACACTTGATTGAGGGGCAGTGGTCTGAGTCAAAGTGTTTTTGGGCATATTATGTGTGTTCTTTTAAACCGGCTCTGGACTACATTCCCACTCTAACTTGCGTTGCATAACAACAACAAGAAAAATCATAATGTAACACACTAATCCTTTTCATGGCAGACTAAAGATAGACTAGCACACAGACACACACACACATAACCAGACATAGAAATATGTTCACACGTCAAACAAGCATGTTCAGACACACTGTCTCACATACACATTGACACAGTCACACACAACAAAAACAAACTACATGGAAACTCGCCATGCCAGTTTGATGTGGGAGCAGTGATGCGCTCCGTGTCCAATGGTGCAAAAGAGTGTTTACTAAAGACCGATAGGCTCACACTGATAACTATTACTCATGATACAATCTCTACTCACACATTCTGTACTGCATGTCTCACACACACACACACATACACACACATTGGTTTTTCCCAGAAGTCTTTATCTAAAGTCTCTGAAAACCTCCAACTGGAACTCAGTGAATGTGGTTATCAGAAGGAGAATAATCCCTGTTAAAATGAAAACTTAATCCAAGTCTGGCCCATACCCACCCGCTATTTTTACCAAATTTTTACTGTATAATCTCTCTTCCTCCTCTTTAATCCCTCATTTTCAGAGTTTCCTTCTTTCTTTTTCAACCACTTTTTTTTCCAACTCTCTTGCTATCTCTCTTGCTATCTCTCTTTCTATCTCTCTTTCTCTCTGGGCAGTTTTCAGTCTTCTTTCAGCCTGAAAGCCCAATCTGGTCCCTCAACTGTCGTCCCACTTTACACTGTCTCAACCACCTGATTCACTCCCATGTGATCAATCTGTCAGTCAGACAGACAGCCAGTGAATCAGTGAGTCTAATTGATTCCTGGCTGATTGATCTAAAGCGATCAGGTGAAAACTGATGTGTACTGACTGACTCCAGATGGTAACACACAGATCGCTCAGTGTGTGTGTGTACAGTTGTCAGTCTCCGACCTGACCGTTGTAGAAACGGGTTTTTCGCAGTCTGTTCCAACCTTGTTTTATAGACTACTGTGTGTGTGAGAGAGACAGGGCTTGTTTCGACCTGATCCAACAGCTTAATCATTTGTTTTGGCGCAATGCCTTGTTACTGGAAGTGTTTTTTTGTTTTTGACCGAGTGCGTAGTGTTGCCTGAACTCCAATGTCAGAGAAAGGGAGGGGCCCTATACGTAGGCGATATTACGGAGCACTGATAAATCAGTGACTCACGCACGCACACACACACACACACACACATACACATACACACACACTCTCGGGGGCACGAGGGAGGAGTTGGGTGTTAATATTAGTAGCAGCCAGCATTCCACACTGCCCCTGTTACTATACTCAACTCTGTCAGCTGTGTTCGACCCCCTCCCTCCCTCTTTCCCTCCCTCTGTCTGTACCTGTCGGTTCCTCTCTCCATCTCCACTCCCTCACTTCTCCACACCAGCTGGGTCTTCTCTAGCTTGTTATTGCCTGACCATCTCTCTCTCTCTGTTTCGTTCTTTCTGTTTCCATGAGTTCATCCGTCCACCTCTATCACCTTTTCATGTTCTCGTCTCCCTTATAGCTGTATCTTTCTGATTCTCTGTCTCCTTTTTGTCTTTCTCTCTCTCTCCCTCTCTCTTTCCCTCTCTCGTGTTGTGTTGTTGAGGTGTTGGGCTTGTCTGAACAGATATGTCCTAGAGGAAGAGGTTTAGGGTTGTGGTGGCTGGTGGGGGAAGAGGGAGAGGGTGGTTGTAAAGTTAAATGTATGATTTTCTTCTTTGTTTTAAATCCCTTCTTTGCTCTGGCTATATTCCCCTCCCCTCTCTCTACTCTGAAACCCACCTCTCTCTCTCTCTCCCTCCCCCCTCCCTTCTCTATATTCTGAAACCCACCTCTCTCTCTCCCTCCCCCCTCCCTCTATTCTGAAACCCACCTCTCTCTCTCTCTCCCCTCCCCCCTCCCCTCTCTCTATTCTGAAACCCACCTCTCTCTCTCTCCCTCCCCCCTCCCCTCTCTCTATTCTGAAACCCACCTCTCTCTCTCTCCCTCCCCCCTCCCCTCTCTCTATTCTGAAACCCACCTCTCTCTCTCTCCCTCCCCCCTCCCCTCTCTCTATTCTGAAACCCACCTCTCTCTCTCTCCCTCCCCCCTCCCCTCCCTCTATTCTGAAACCCACCTCTCTCTCTCCCTCCCCCCTCCCCTCCCTCTATTCTGAAACCCACCTCTCTCTCCCCCCTCCCTCCCACCTCATCTGTTGCTCTGGGTCTCTAATCCTACAGCAGAATGAGGGAGAAACACACACACACACACAGATTACAGACGATCTGAGCTGTAATCTGACTAGCTGACCTATCCACACAAAAATCCTCATCGTCTTTCTGCTGCTTTTTATATTTAGAATAGATGATATCCCTGTTATCGCTCTTGCGTAACAGACGTGGGTGGGTGGGTGTTAGTAAATCTGAAGCTCCTCAATGTGTAGAGAACAATCAGTTAAAGGAGCCAATAGGATAGTGGCGTTCAGTCAGCCAGCTACACAGCTTATAGTTCTGTCCATTCAATCACATCTAGGCCTGTAGCTTGTTTCCTGCTGACATAACAGCTGTCTTACCTAACACTCTCTCACACACATATTATCGTGGATGTAACATAAAACAAAGTTTTACCATGTTTTTAAAACCCAAAATACTTCATTAGCCCCCCCCCTTCTATCTCAGCTCTTCCTCTCGCCTACTTATCTATGGTCCAGACTTCCTCTCTCTCTCCGTCGGTCCCTCTCTTTCTCAAAGACCCTGCTCTGTTTTCCTGAGTAGTTTCCCACACAGATCACAGCAGCTTGCTGTGTCTCCCCACTGTTATTGTTTGACTCAATTCTACAATACTGAGGACTGCTTTATCCTCACCTTATCACGTTGTTTGTGTGTGTGTACAGTATCTTCATGTAGCGTTTCAGAGATGGCTCTCTGTCGCCCCCTAAGCGCCAGTTCCAGTCTCAGCTCAGCTCAGGCCTGACTGACTTCTCTGTTTGAAGCAGCCGGGATGGATATTCCCAACAAGAATTTTTGCAATTCATGACATGTCATTTAAATTCACTTTGAATTAATGAAAATGGTTTTGACCCCAACTGTGTTATTCTGTATAATCCAGATTGAAGCTAGGGTTAGTTGGAATACAATCCTCCTGGTTGATTGACCTGTGAGTTTAGTTCTCCTCATTGACCCAAACCAAGCTGCATATCTAGCAACCTGCCAACATGTAGCCATTTTCTATTCATCTGAGGGAGGGAGATGATGGGGGGGATGAAAAGATGGGGGCAAACACAAAAAGGGGGATGGATAGAGGTTAAAAGAGGAAGGGATTTGTGTTGAAATTAGGCCGTCATGAAGAGCTCTGAGCTCTGATATGTTAACTTAAGAGAGAGGGAAGAATAGAGGAGAGATGGACGGAGGGAGAGGGGGATGGGTTAATTTAGAGAGCATAAAGGAGAGACCGATGGAGGGAGGAGAAATGGGACATTGATGGATGGAGGGAGGGGAGAAATGTGGGATTGAATGAGTGAGAAATGGTTGTGTTGACATTTTTAAAGGCTCTCCAACCCTGCAATTCTGAATCAAGAATCACACACACCATAAATAGGTGGTGGTAGTAATAATGTGGAGTCTGGATGTGATAATGGTGGTTGGGACAGAATGATTAGCCTCCTGGTATTCTGATCTGTTGGAGCGTGACAGACTGAAGAGTAACCTCTTTGGAACTCTCCTCTCGGGAGAGAGAATGTGGGAGATTAGAATAGAGGGTGTTCTAGAGAGGTTCTAATAGGGTAGTTAGTGTATAATACTGTATTAGTGGATAAAAGGACTAAAGCCCAGATTACAACTGACAGCCCTATATCCTCTCAGAATTGAGGTGTGAATGTGGGATACCACAGTGAATTAATAGGGTAATATATATGCCTGTGTGTGCAGATTTTATAGTCGTATGGTGTGAGAGCTTTCTATTCCACGGACTCCCACAAACCCCAAAAGCCTTGTCATGACATTCCTCCAGTGTGTTTGTGTTGCTGACTACCTGTGGAGTATATGGTGGAATTGCATCTGGGTTTTATTAACAGTGCTGACTCACCTTCAGACCCGCTGAAACTCTCCCTTGCTGAGTCAGTGGGAGTGTGTATGAGGATTCTGACCCTGAACTCTAACCCCTGTGACCTGCCTGACAGTTTGTAACATTCCTCAAAGAACGAGAGGAGGAGGAGACAGACAGAGAGAGAAAGGAGAGCATTTTCTGTTGTGATTTTTTTATATGGAAAACACACAGAGGACAGATGGAGGGATAGTATGGAGAGAGGAGAGATATGCCTATAAGTAGGGAAAGAAGGGAAGAGGGGTGAGAGGTGAAACTAGAGAGAAGAGATGTAACAGTAAGAGATGAGGAAAGGACTTCAAAGCTGTTGAGAAGTTAATGAGGTGTTAAATAACTCATCCAATCACCCTACTGTCATAACCATCTACCAAACACACACACACACACACACACACACACACACACACACACATGCATGCACACACTCAAAGCAAACACACACATAAACACACACACACACACACACACACACACACACACACATGCATGCACACACTCAAAGCAAACACACACATAAACACACACACACACACACACACACACACACACACATGCATGCACACACTCAAAGCAAACACACACATAAACACATCTGTGATGCAGTAGCTACAGTAGCAGCTCTAAGAACTGTTCAGTTCAGATGAGAGGTGAGGGAAGACTACCTTCAACCCTGGCTGTTTACACACACACACACACACACACACACACACACACAGGCTCCGGTCTGCCTGATAAACAGATGTGCTCATGTGCCTGGGGCGTGAGGCGGCCTGGATTCTGGTCTTCAGAGAACCCCTCTCTCACACACACACACCCCTGCCTCTCTCACACACACGTAGCTATCACATTAACGCGACTCTCACTCTCCTGTGAACTGGCAGTCAGAGTAGAAGGACAAAGGAGAGAGAGAGAGACGACGACACTGTTCGGAGGTATGGAGGGAGGGCGGGAGGGAGGGGAGCTGTGTTCCAGTTGTGAGTCTGGCCCTGTGTCAACTGGCTTCAATCAACTGGACTTCTCCCAGATCCCTAGGCTGAGGTGGCATGCGCACACACACGCATGCGCACACACACACACGCTCACACAAACCTCCATTGATGATAAGTAAGGCCGTCAACGTTACTGTACATCTAGCTTCATCATGATTGTTGTAGAATTGGTAGAGAGTAAATTATGGGCAACATGGACCACGTGCAAAATGCTGTGAGCCATAGTAGCTACAACACAGCCTCTCCTTATCAGGTCTACATCAGCCTCTACTAGTGAGCAGAGGACACTGAGCACAGCCCTTGGGGGTAGAGGGGGTGAAGGGTGGGGGGCAGACTGGAGTCTAGTCAGCACCAGGGTTTATGTCTTTTGGGGGGTAATTACACCCTATTCAGACCCCCTCCACCCTTTGTGGGGACAGCTTGGCTCCATACCCAAATAGCTTTTAATTAGGTAAGCTTCAGAAGAGCGAGAGATTTCTGAAAGTGTGATTGTTTGTAGTGACTGAGATTAGCAACAGAATATGTGTTTTGACAGCTTTAGACAAGAACATGTTTTTAAGGAGAAGCTGTGGTTAGTGAACAAGGAGAGTGTGTGGGAATCAAGTGGATTCCATTCAGTTAGGAAAGTCTCTTCACTCTGTACTGTAGCAGTGCAGTTCTCTCCTGCCGTTCGTCTCAACCCTGTCATTACCAGTCTGAGTCAAGTAAAATAAATAAGAAAGGAAAACAGATTTGTTTGTCAATTAAGTGCTTTAACCGCAGACCGGTGTGTGTGTGCATGCGAAGGCTAAACCAAAGATATCCATCCTGTTTGAAATGGCATTGATTACAAGTGGTGTGAGAAAGAGGCTAATTTAGCTATTAGCCCTGGCAGATGAGCCTAGGTACGGGCTCTGCTAACAATACATGTTATGACAGGCAAGTTACTCTCTCTAGGTCTCTCTCTCACAAACAGATGCACACACACACACACACAGTGGCAGGGGGATTAAGGGGGGTTGGGGACCCACATGGAGCCAGTGTGTCTCACTTAACAAGGACAACAACAACAGGAGAGAAAGGAAGGAGGGTTGAAAGGAGGGAAGGAGGCAGGATGGTCACAGATACCTCCTGTTCTAGGCTTTGATGCTTGGGCACACACTAACACAACATAAACATGTATGAACTGGGTTCTTCACACTTTAAAGTGGTCCTCCCCAATTAAAGTGCCACCAGCCGCCTGTGATACAGACGCTCTGTCTCATGGCACTGAAAAACAGCTTCTATCTCAAGGCCATCAGACTGTTAAATAGCCATCACTAGCCAGGTACCACCCGGCTACTCAATCCTGCACCTTAGAGGCTGCTGCCCTGTATACATAGACATGGAATCACTGGCCACTTTAATAATGGAACACTAGTCACTTTAATAATGTTTATCTACTACTTTACACATTTCATATGTATATACTGTATTCTATTCTACTGTATTTAGTCAATGCCACTCCGACATTGCTCGTCCTAATATTTATATATTTCTTAATTCTGGTCTTTTACTTTTAGATTTGTGTGTATTGAATTGTTAGATACTACTGCACTGTTGGAGCTAGGAACACAAGCATTTCGCTACACCTGCCATAACATCTGCTAAATATGTGTATTTGACCAATAAAATTTGATTTGATTTGAAACAGAGCCACACACCCAGAGTATGTGGCAGGGTGTTTGTGCTTCAGCCTGTGTGCATGTCTGTTTTTTAATTTTTTATTTAACCTTTTATTTAACTAGGCAAGTCGGTTAAGAACAAATTCTTATTTACAATGATAGCCCAGGGCTAACAAGCTCTTACCCACAAACTCAACCTCTCTTCCAGAAAAGTGTGTGTGTACCCTGCCAGCACCACTGACTCCACTCGCCAACACAACTCATAGTCCCTGTGTGAGCTGAATCCTAATAGGCCTGGAGGACAGCTGGAAAGCACTGTTTTACTCAGATACAGCACTTGAATGTTTCTTTCATCTCCCCCTCTAACCTTCCTTCCTACCAGAAATCAAGTTGAAGTTCCACTGCTCTACACACTGTTCTAGGGTTTCTTTCATGAGTTGTGTGTGTGAGAGCTGCGTTTGGTGTGTGTTATAGAGACGTTTGTTCACGTGTATACCTCACTAGATTGGAGGGGTTGACTGGAGGGAAGGAGGGTGAAACCACAACAACAACCGTTAAAATACAGAACCGAGATGGAGGGAGAGAGTCATAAAGTCAAGGGAGGGTGAAGATGGAGGAAGTAGGACGAGACAGAATTAGAGGGGCAGAGTCACTAGAGGAGGAAAATGACGGGGGGGGGGTGAAAGAGAGCGAAAGGGAGAGAAAGAGATGAAATGACTTGTGCAGACAGAGCATATATATAGATATAGATATAGATGACAGACAGACTGAGACAGAGAGAGAGAACGAAGGAGTAGGAGAATCTGTCACTCAGAATCGTGTCTCCATGAACACAGGTGGCCAGTGAAACTCTACCCTTAAAACATGAGTGGACGCTCCAGAAAACAGATGAGAGGGAGAGAGCGCGTTAAAGAGGGATAGGCAGAAAGCGTGTAGTGGTGTGTTCTTGTCTAAATAAATACATCAAACAAGTTCAGCCAGTGACTCCTGATTGGCTACTCACTAATTCTCATTGTCTGGGTGACAGGTCTACACCAGTCTCACATCAGGACACTCACGCAATCACACATAAGTGCTGCAGGTGCAAATACACACACACACACACACACACACACTCTCTGTTTGGGCTGAGTCATAGCAGCTTTTTGTGTTTATGATTGTCCTTGAGTGTGTTTATTATGAGAGTGTGTGTGTGTGTTTAAGTCGGTTCTTCCATACGTGTTTGTTCATGTGAGTGGAACAGCACACACAAACATGGGCTCAACTCTGTCATCCGGCAGGTGTCTGGCTGGGAATGGGCCGTGATGATATTTCATAATGTTACATTTGTTCCTTCGGTCAGTCAGAGATGACGGTCAGTCAGAGATGACACAAGGACTGCTAGATGTAAGGTCATCTAAACATAATAGCCAGCCATGTCACTAACCTCTCTCCTCCTCTTCTCTCTCTCTCTCTCTAGTTTCCTATGGGATGAGTACACAGTGGAGGTGAAAATCAATGACTACCTGGACATTATCTGTCCTCACTACACACGCGGGGAGCTGCCGTCCCAGGAGGCCGAGCGGTATGTGCTGTACATGGTGGAGAGGGAGGACTATGAGGTGTGTAAGCCCCACTCCTTCGACCAGCTGCGTTGGGAATGTTCCCGGCCCTTCGCTGCCCACGCCCCCGAGAGGTTCTCCGAGAAGTTCCAACGCTTCACCCCCTTCACCCTGGGCAAGGAGTTCAGACAGGGAGAGAGCTACTACTATATCTGTAAGTATAGCACTACTACAGTACTACTACTCATTTACTTATACCACTACTATCTATGTGCAGTACTTCTGAATTAATACTACCACTTAACTGTACTATAGACTACTCTAACACAATGCTTGGGTGTTTGTACTAAACCTCCCTCTCTTCTCCCTCTACAGCCAAGCCGCTGCATCACCACGGCCAGGAGTGTCTGAGGCTGAAGGTGGACGTGGTTGGACTTCATGGTGAGCTCACTTCCCTTGTCTCCATCAACATGCTAGCATTAGCCTCTGTTAGCTTTAGCGGGTTTTCCTATGGTAGCATTAGCTTCTGTTAGCATCAGTGGCTAGGCTTAGTTTTCCCCATATTCAGTGATATTCCCGTTGGGTGTTCATACGATGAAGTTCTTACCAATGTCTTCTTGTCCTCTACAGGCTCTGGGAAGGCCAAAGCTGACAAAGCAAAGGATGGAGCGATGGAGAAAGCGATAGATGGAGGAAAGGGAAAGATAGGAGCAGGAGGAGGAGTACACAACCCCTCCAACAGGCTTCCAGCAGGTACGTCTCCCATCTGTCCATCCAGAGAGACAGTCAGATGTACAGCATTGACTCTGGATAGTAGAATTGTTCCACTTGTTTCTGATAATAACATGCGCTCTCTCTCTCTCTCTCTCTCCAGATGACCCTGCTGTGTTGGAGCCTAAGGTCCAGAAGAGTGTGGGTAGTTCAGGTGTTCAGCTGGTCTCCCTGTCGGTCTTCTTCACCCTGTTCCCAGTCCTACTATCCCTGTTACTCCACTGAGACTGAGTTACAGACCTAGCTAAAACAGAGACACTGTCAACCCAATGCTGGACATTGGCACAGAGAAGATTTTTATAGAGATTTGTATATATGCAACTGGACTTAGCTGCGTGTGTGTGTATGTGTGTACGTGTGATTGGAACGTGGATCGTTCCAGAGACGAGGATCTTCAAGAGTATTTTTGCAATTATTTTTTTCTACATATGTTTTTGCAAATGAAAGAGGGTGGACGGCTATTCCCCCTTTTTTTCTCATGTTCCCTCCATTTGATCTGTTTGGACACTTTTGGACACCCCACTAAATCTGGAACCTAAATCTACCTGGAAAGTGATGTACTAATCATTATTAGAAAACTGACAAAGGTATAACTGTTTTCATGATTACCCTGAATTGTATTGTAACAGTGATATACAATGAGTGTAAAAAACATTATGAACACCTTCCTAATATTGAGTTGCACCCCCTTTCGCCCTCAGAAAAGCCTCAATTCGTCAGCGCATGGACTCTACAAGGTGTCGAAAGCGTTCCACAGGGATGCTGGCCCATGTTGACTCCAATGCTTCCCACAGTTGTGTCAAGTTGGCTGGATGTCCTTTGGGTGGTGGAACATTCTTGATACACACAGGAAACTGTTGAGCGTGAAAAACCCAGCAGTGTTACAGTTCTTAACACACTCAAACCGGTGCGTCTTGTACCTACTACCATACCCCATTCAAAGGCACTTAAATATTTTGTCTTGCCCATTCACCCTCTGAATGGCACACATAAACAATCCATGTCTCAGTTGTCTCAAGGCTTAAAAATCCTTCTTTAACCTGTCTCCTCCCCTTCATCTACACTGATTGAAGTGGATTTAACAAGTGACATTAATAAGGGATCATAGCCTTCACCTGGTCAGTCTGTCATGGAAAGAGCAGGTGTTCCTAATGATTTGTACACTCAGTGTATAATCTGGGTATATATACTCTGTTCAATCTCAAATAGTTTGAGCCAAAGCCTACAGTAATCCTCTGAAACTGCCGGCCTCATGTTTCCTCCTCTACATGTAGAGACTATTGATGATGTATATAGATGTATGTGTATTAGCTGACCGTCCTCTAAGCAGGGTTTATGTCTTGTGTAGTACAGTAGATACTCAGGTCAATGGGGATGTTTCTTCTTGACATGTCACTCAAATCAAACTAAAGTTTATTTGTCACGTGCACAGGATACAGCAGATGTGAACAGTACAGTAAAATGCTTACTTGCAAGCTCTTCCTCAACAATGCATTATTCAAGTATAATTCACTGTACAAAACCCAATGATGTGACAGAGATACATACTCTAAAGCACAGATTAGCACACACTAGAACAAAACACACATTCTATGTTGTAGATATACACAGATATATATCTACATAACCAGATCCTCTGTCATCAAGATGGTACAACAGCTTCAAGTGAACACATTTGTGATTGTTTTGCTTTTGTATTTCTTTATGGTTTAGTGTTGAACAGATGAATGTATAGGAAAGAGATGGAGGGAATGTGAGTTGAGGGGAAGGAGGAGAGCAAAGTGGAAATGACAGGATTCTGAGACGGTGTTGTGATTGCATGGAGGCTGGGAGCTGCTCTTCCTTCCTTTACTGATGGTAATTCCTCCCATTCCTCCCTCTGATATAAGCAACGTCACACAAACAACATAACCGGTACACTGGTCATTATGGTGTGTACTTTTAATTGGGGACAATGGGCTTGTGGTAATGACTGGAGCGGAATCAGTCGAATGGTATCAAACACATGGTTTCCAGGTGGGGTTTTTTGTTAGTTTTTTTAGGTTTCCAGGTGTTTGATGCCATTCCATTTCCTCCGTTCCGGTCATTATTATGAACCTCCTGTGGTTTACAGGTATTACACAATAGAATGCAAAGGAAATCCCCTACATACACACAACACCTACAGACATACTGTATTGTAACTGTTTTGTTTTCTTGTTTTTGTAAATGTTTGTATGTAAAATGTGTACATTTAGAAAAGTATATGAAAATAACAGCATTTGTTTAAAATGTGAAACATTTAATGAAATAAAAAATATTGGGTGATATAATAAATAAAACACCTGACTTGAGTGCTCTCAATTGCCACATTTTATAACCAAAGGTAAAGAAATTGACGGTCACACTTTTTCAAAGTTGTTACTTTCGACGAAATTCACAGCTGGAGTTTTAAAATTTCACCGTAACATTCTGACATTGGAAAAAAGTGTAAGTTTTGATGGTTGACAAAGGTGACTCTCCAAGCCCATCCATCTGCCCTCTGAAGAAATCTCACCCTCTCTCCAACTTCCCCTCTCAGGTCTTTCCCGTGTTCTTTTCTCTCCTTCCCTGACTTTTGCCAGTTTCTGTCTTTCATCCTGGGCTGGTTTGCCCTGGCCAGAACATCACAGCCCTGTGGCCAAACGTCTGTGTGGAGAGGGATGAGGGGGGGGGTGACAGGAGACCACGAGCAAACTGACACCCGGGTATGAAAGTGTCACTCTCGCTCCCTCCCTCACACTCACCCTTTTGTTTGCCATCTTCTCCCCTCCCTCCCTCTCTCAATTCAATTCAAAGGGCTTTATTGGCATGGGAAACATGTTGACATTGCCAAAGCAAGTGAAATAGATAATAAACAAAAGTAAAATAAACCAAAAATGAACAGTAAACATTACACTCACAGTTCCAAAGGAATAGGGTCATTTTAAATGTCATATGTCTATATACAGTGTTGTAACAATGTGCAAAGAGTTAAAGTACAAAAGGGAAAATAAATCAACATAAATATGGATTGTATTTACAATGGTGTTTGTTCTTCACTGGTTGCCCTTGTGGCAACAAGTCACAAGTCTTGCTGCTGTGATGGCACACTGTGGTATTTCATCCAATAGAAATGGGCATTTATCAAAATTGGATTTTTTTCAAATTCTTTGTGGGTCTGTGTAATCTGAGGGAAATACGTGTCTTTAATATGGTCATACATTTGGCAGGAGGTTAGGAAGTGCAGCTTAGTTTCCACCTCATTTTGTGGGCAGTGTTCACATAGCCTGTCTTCTCTTGAGAGCCATGTCTGCCTATGGCAGCCTCTCTCAATAACAAGGCTATGCTCACTGAGTTTGTACATAGTCAAGCTTTCCTTAATTTTGGGTCAGTCACAGTGTACTCTCTGTTTAGGGCCAAATAGCATTCTAGTTTGCTCTGTTATTTTTTGTTAATTCTTTCCAATGTGTCACGTAATTACATTTTTGTTTTCTCATGATTTGGTTGGGTCTAATTGTGTTGCTGTCCTGGGGCTCTGTGGGGTCTGTTTGTGAACAGAGCCCTAGGACCAGCTTGCTTAGGGGACTCTTCTCCAGGTTAATCTCTATAGGTGATGGCTTTGTTATGGAAGGTTTGGGAATCGCTTCCTTTTAGGTGGTTGTCGAATTTAACAGCTGTTTTCTGGATTTTGTTAATTAGCGTGTATCGGCATAATTCTGCTCTGCATGCATTATTTGGTGTTTTACGTTGTACACTGAGGATATTTTTGCAGAATTCTGCATGCAGTCTCAAATTGGTGTTTTTCCCATTTTGTGAATTCTTGGTTGGTGAGAGGACCCCAGACCTCACAACCATAAATCGCAATGGGTTCTATAACTGATTCAAGTATTTTTTGCCTTATCCTAATTGGTATGTCGAATATTATGTTACTTTTGATGGCGTAGAAGGCCCTTCTTGCCTTGTCTCTCAGATCGTTCACAGCTTTGTGGAAGTTACCTGATGTTTAGGCTGAGGTATGTATACTTTTTTTGTGTGCTCTAGGACAACAGTGTTTAGTTAAAATGTTGTGTTCTTGGCAGCTGGACCTTTTTTGGAACACCATTATTTTTGTCTTAACTGAGATTTACTGTCAGGGCCAAGGTCTGACAGAATCTGTGCAGAAGATGTAGGTGCTGCTGTAGGCCCTCCTTGGTTGGGGACAGAAGCACCAGATCATCAGCAAACAGTAGACATTTGACTTCAGATTCTAGTAGTGTGAGGCCGGGTGCTGCAGACTGTTCTAGTGCCCTCGCCAATCCGTTGATATATATGTTGAAGAGGATGTGGCTCAAGCTGCATCCCTGTCTCACCCCACAGCCCTGTGGAAAGAAATGTGTGTGTTTTTTTTGCCAATTTTAACTGCACAATTTGTTTGTGTACATGGATTTTATAATGTCATATGTTTTTCCCCCAACACCGCTATCCATCAATTTGCATAGCAGACCCTCATGCCAAATAATAATTTTTAAAAAAGCATGAGAAGGCTTTGCCTTTGTTTTGGTTTGTTTGTTTGTCAATTAGGGTGTACAGGGTAAATACGTGGTCTGTCGTACGGTAATTTGGTAAAAAGCCAATTTGACATTCACTCAGTACATTGTTTTCACTGAGGAAATGTACGAGTCTGCTGTTAATGATAATGCAGAGGATTGTTCCAAGGTTCCTGTTGAAACACATCCCACGCTAGTTATTGGGGTCATATTTGTCTCCACTTTTGTGGATTGGGGTGATCAGTCCTTGGTTCCAAATATTGGGGAAGATGCCAGAGCTGAGGAGGATGTTATAGCCAATTGGAATTTGTGGTCTGTATATTTTAACATTTCATTTAGGATAACATCAACACCACAGGCCTTTTTGGGTTGGAGGGTTTGTATTTTGTCCTGTAGTTCATTCAATGTAATTTGTATTTGATCATGTATGTTTTTTCTGTTTGTTCTTTGGTATAGAGTCAAAAAGATTGGAGAAGTGGTTTCTCCACACATCTCCATTTTGGATAGATAACTCTGTGGTTGTTGTTTGTTTAGTGTTCCAAGACCTGCTGTTCCTTCTTTTCCGTACTGTATTTCTTTATTGTTTTAGTGATTCACCATAGTGAAGGCGTAGGCTCAGGTTTTCAGGGTCTCTATGTCTTTGGTTGGACAGGTTTCTCAATTTCCTTCTTAGGTTTTTTCATTCTTCATCTCTCTCTCTCTTTCTCTCTCTGCCCTGTTGGTCTCCTGTGAAAACTCCACATCCGCTGGCACCATGTTGAGTTGGACTGAAGGGCTGCCCATATAGGTAGTACCACCCAAAGTACCAACCTGGGCGTACACAAGCTTTACAGTGTAAACAGAGGAGTTACCCAAATCTGTCATCTTCAACATAGTATTTGAAGAGTTTATTTCCAAAATGCTATATATCCATTTTCAATGTTGGTAAATTTGCTTTTACTGTTCAAAGAAATTATGAAAGCGTTTGTGTTTTTCACTGTCTAGTCATGGCATGTTCAATGACAGATATGTATTTGTTTAAAAATCTATCACTTGATGGTTTAATTTCAGAGACAAATAATCATGTTTTTTTTTGCAAAATGCTACGTATCCGCCTCACTCTCAAGGAAATAAGTAGTACTGCTAGGTCTTACACAGTCAATGTAACAAATAACT